ACAGAGCTTACAACCCCCCCCCCCCCGGGCTTGGATTTGTTATGACTCTGCTTTGAGATCAGTTCTTTTAAGCTTGCAGGTTTACCTATAACTAGAGAAAAATATGTCCTTTGTGTCCCAGTATTCTTCATGGTGACCCTGTAAGATTTCTTGTGACATAAAATCGATTTTGTATAAGGAGGGGTAACACCCCTAATTTTATACATCAATCCATCTTGGATTTTTGGCTGAAGAAAAGTTCTACTACTTGAAATGAGCTACGATGTAATCTAGATATCCCGTCCCTACTCATCTGGTTGCCTGCAGAGCACTTGGATTGGACTCTTCATAAAAATATTTATGTTTGGATTATAGGACTTTATCCATCATGAGAATAGTACCATTCACTGGAATTTATTCCATATTCATTATGAATTGGTCTCTCTTATGTTATTTGGTAATTATGAATTGTACACAATTCTTTCTACCTAAAACTATTTTTGTATTTAGCACTTTAAATATTTTCTAATTATAAGAAAAAATAACACTTTTGGTTTTTCTGTGACTTTTGTTTTACATTCTTTATTAGTTTGTATATCAGTTTCTTGTTCTCACTTTACATGTTATATTGGCTGTGATTCCGCTTCATTATGGAATTGTCATAATGGCACTGGGTTCTGCTGGGCTTCCAACCTCCCTCCCACGCCTGGATTGTGATTCTGTGCTTGACATTAGTCCTGTTGAGCTCACACTGGTTTCTGCTGGGAACTGTAGATTGCACTGGTTCTGCTGGGCTTGCAGCTCCCCTCCCGTGCTTGGATTCATTGTAGAGCTGGCATTGCCACAGTGGCACTGGGTTTTGCTGGCTAGGCACTACATTCAGCTGGTTCTGCTGGGTTTGTAATCCCTCTCCCATTGTTTGGATTGTGATTCTGTGCTTGATATCAGTTCTGTTTCACTGGCATTGCCACAATGACACTGGGTTCTGCTGGGCACTCTGTACATTGCACTAGTTCTGCTGGGCTTGCAAAAATGCCCCCCCCCCAGTTTCTAATGCAGAGATTCTCTGAGACTTTGATTCTGTTTTGCTGGTCTTCTATTACCCTTGCTTTTTTTGCTATTTCCCCCTCCATTGGAAACAATGGAGGATGAGGCACCTTCTTTGGGGGCCCATAGAATTGGACCCCTTGGTCCAATATTTTTGAAACTTGGTGGTTCATCTGAGAAGAGACACCAACAGCTATGAGGCAAATTTGGTGTCTCTACCTCAAAACACAGTCTCCCAGACCCCCCAGGATACCCCCAGATTGATTCTGCATTGACTAAAATGGTCCCTGTGGGGTATAATGGAGTTGAAAAACATCGGGATTTCACAAAAAGTCACAAACCCAAATACCATACCAGTATTAGAATTTGGGAATAACAGGAATACTCATATTTTTGGGGTCAAACATACCCAAATCTGAAAACATAATTTTTAAATTATTATTTTTGTGCACACCCCTAATGGTGAATTTGACAGGTTGTTTTGGGGTGCCGCGGTGGCTCAAGTTGTTAAGATGCTGAACTGCAGGCTGTGGAAGGTCGGTTGTTCAGTAGTTCGAGACCCAAGTGTGCCGCATGATGGAGTGAGCTCCCGTCTCTGGCCCCAGCTCCTGCCAACCTAGCAGTTCGAAAGCAAGAAATTGCAAGTAGATAAATAGGTACCACTTCAGTGGGAAGGGAACAGTGTTCTGTGCGCCTCGGCATCTAGTCATGCCGGCCACATGACCACGGAAATGTCTTTGGACAGCGCTGGCTCTTCGGCTTTGAAACGGAGATGAGCACCGCAACCCTAGAGTCGGACTCGACTGGCTTTCGAGCAAGGGAACCTTTACCTTTTGGGGTTTACCTTAGTGTGTTGTAAGGTTGCAGTGGAGAGTCTAACTATTTCATTCTCTCTGCAGCCAAGAGGCCAGGATGAGGCCTGAGAACACCACCTTTGTAACAGAGTTCATCTTGATGGGTCTCTCCAGCCGTCGCAAGACTCAGATTCTGCTCTTTGTGGTGTTCTTCCTTATGTACTTGGCTACTATTGTGGTGAACCTGCTGATCATAATACTTGTGCGGGCCGACCCATGCCTCCACCGACCCATGTACTTCTTCCTCACCCATCTTTCTGGTCTTGAGATCTGTTTTGTCACGACCACCATGCCGCAGATGCTGGCTCACCTGATAACTGGAAATGGGGCTATCTCCTTCACCCGGTGTGCAGCCCAGATGTATGCGACTACATGCCTGGGATGCACCGAATACCTTCTTCTAGGTGCCATGGCCTATGACCGCTGTTTGGCCATTTACAACCCCCTGGCATATGCAGCCGTTATGAGCAGGAAACGCCAATGGCAGCTCACCTCATCTTCCTGGGCAGCTGGGTTTCTCCTCGCTTCACTCAATGTGACCGGCACTATTTCCCTCCCCTTTTGCGGGAGCAACCGCATCAACCACTTCTTCTGTGAGCAGCCAGTTGTGTTTAAATATACGTGTAAAGAAGCCCGCTACACAGAGCCCATTATTTTAATGGTGTCTACGTTGATCCTTGTGGGTCCCTTTTTTGTTATCCTAACCTCCTATGGTCTTATTCTCTACTCTGTGTTTTGGATGCCATCAAGGGTTGGATGGAGAAAGGCACTTTCCACTTGTACCTCCCATCTGGTGGTGGTCACCCTCTTCTACAGTACCCTCATCTTTATGTACGTGCGACCTGGTGTGGATGCAGTTATTGATCGTGACAAGCAAACCGCCATCCTTTACATAGTGGTGACACCCATGCTCAATCCCATCATTTATAGCTTGCGGAACAAAGAGATCCACAGGGCAGTGGTCAAGGTATTGAGAAGACCAGGGTTGGGACAAAAGAACTGAGCAGTGCTGTCTTGCTTCATCAGGCCAGGAATTGCTTAGGACCTGCCAGCCACTTTCCTCGTTTCAGCCAAATGTTCAGTTTGGACAGTGGTGATTTAATTTTTGCTCAGCTATAAAACACATTTAGCGGTCTTTATGATACCTGCTGTGGTGGCTCAAGTGGTTAAGATGCTGAACTGCAGGCTGTGGAAGGTGGGTAGTTCAGCAGTTCGAGACCCGGGTGCCGCATGACGGAGTGAGCTCCCGTCTCTCATTCCAGCTCCTGCCAACCTAGCGGTTCGAAAGCAAGAAATTGCAAGTAGATAAATAGGTACCACTTCGGTGGGAAGGTAACAGCGTTCCGTGTGGCTGGCATGACTAAACACCAAGGCGCACGGAACGCTGTTATCTTCCCACCGAAGTGGTACCTATTTATCTACTTGCAATTTCTTGCTTTCGAACTGCTAGGTTGGCAGGAGCTGGAACTAGAGACGGGAGCTCACTCCATCATGCGGCACCTGGGTCTTGAACTGCTGAACTACTGACCTTCCACAGCCTGCAGTTCAGCGTCTTAACCACTTGAGCCACCGCAGCTCCTTTTCACCCTTTAAAACCACTCAAAATCCCTGTGTGTTCCAAAGCAACATTCAAAGTAGTTTGCATTCTGAATGAGCAATTTTGTACCCTGCCATAAAAGTTGCAGCAACACCAGATGAATCAACAGAAAGATTAATCATCACCTTTTTTTTTTTTTGCAAATTTTAGCCAAAATTTGATTTATAACAAACGTTATACCCCTCCATTCTCCCCAGTGGGAAAACAACAGCTGATGTGGTTCTCATGGCAGGGAGGTTCCCAACAGGCCAACATGGGAGGAAGGGGTCAGAAGGGACACCACTGCAACTCCAGATGGAAACTCACGAGTAGGGACCACCTTTATCAGCAAGAGAGCCAAAAGAGTTAGCCTGGGCCCTGGAACCAGTGGAACTTGTCAGCCAGGAAGCCCATTAGAAAAAAGCTGCTGGCAAGGATCCTCGGGGGGTGATGGGAGGAATAGAAGACCTGACCTGGGAGAATTGGGTGAGGTTATCATGATGGAAGACAATTTTGGCCTGAGGTTGGAGCTAAGCATATAAAAGAGGCATTCAGTGAGACAGGAGGGGGTTGTGGAGAAGGCTGCAGAAAGCTGACTCAATGATATTTATTTGCGGTCAGACCATTTATCAAAATATTACATATTCATTCGAGACAAGCAAATTAGCTTTCAGCTCCAAAAATAAACACATAACCTTAACATCATTAAAATGTTAAAAGGAGAAATGTTTAAAGGTCCAGTATATCAAGATAATTATGTTTAAAACGAAACGACTTATGAGTCATGCAAAGGTAAATGAGGATTCTACTTGATCTGCTTCTTATTGTGAGATTTTACCAGTTGCCGGCAGAATTTTGCTATTTGCCTGGAGATCTGCTGATTCTCCTCTATCAAAAGCCTCTCTAGATCGGTCTAGTCTTTATCTTGGAGGATCCTATAATATCAATAACACACCTAATGTCCCAAATTCAGGAATATGGCAGCTTGGCAGGTCTAAAGATTAATGTGAAGAAAACTAAAATCCTAACAAAAAACTGTTCCAAAGAAGAAATAAATAAGCTCCAAACAATTAGCAAAATGGAAATAACAAATAAAGTCAAATATCTAGGCATTAATATGACAAGTAATAACTTACATCTGTATGAAAATAATTATAAACCACTGCTACAAGAAATTAAAAAAGACTTGGAAAAATGGCAGGATCTCCACATATCATTGATTGGCAGAACGGCCACTGTAAAAATGAATATCTTACCGAGATTCTTGTTCCTGGCCCAAACAATTCCGATATTAAAAAATGAAAAAATATGCGAAGAACTAGATAAAATCACGAGAAAATTTATATGGCAAGCGAAGAGAGCCAGAATAAGACTTAAATCGTTACAGGAAAAAAAAGAGCGAGGCGGTTTAGGTGTACCAAATTGGAAACTCTACTACAGAGCAGCAGCAATGAGTTGGATATGTGAATGGGTTTTATTAGAAGACAGAAGAACATTAAAATTGGAAGGCTTTGACCTACACATGGGTTGGCACACCTATGTGTGGTACGATGAAAAGGAAAGACAAAAACATTTCCACAGGCACATCCTAAGAGATTCTTTAACAAGGATATGGAGGCCGATAAAAAAGAAATTTTACAATAAAATACCGAAATGGGTGTCCCCTCTGGAAGCCTTCATATTACCAAACTTAATGACGGACAATAAGATCGCCAGCTACGAAATACTACTCACTAAAGAAAACGAGCTGAAAAACTTTGAAGCTTTACAGACATTGAACATCAATCTATCAGCCTGGGAGAAATTACAATTAAAATCAAGATTTGCGAAAGATAAGATAAAAGGCTTTACCACAACATATACGAGTCTCGATAAAATTTGGCTACCCTCCGCAAATAAGTTAATACAAAAACTATATAACTTCCTCTTAAATGATGAGATGCAAACAGAACAAATAAAACCCTGTATGAAGGCCTGGGAGAAAGATATAGGAAATTCCATAACTGAGGTAAATTGGTCAAAAATGTGGAATTCAATGAAGATACTAAGAGCCACTGCTTATAAAGAAAACATCTTCAAAATGTTTCACAGATGGCACTGGACGCCAGATAAAGCATTAAAATGTTATAAAAACGTATCCGGAAATTGCTGGAGATGTGAGCGAAATGTTGGCTCCTATTTTCACATTTGGTGGAGATGTGAAAGAGTGGTAAAATTCTGGAAAAGTATAAAACAAACCATCTTAGATATACTAGAAATTGATCTACCGTTGAAACCAGAAATATACTTGCTAAATATCTTGCCAGAAAGGATAAAATATAATGATGCATGTCTGATATTATACATTCTCACAAATGCCAGGATAGCTGTAGCCAAATGCTGGAAGTCTGACAGATTGCCAAGTAGAGAAGAATTAATTATAAAAATTATAGATCTAAAGGAAATGGACAAAGTAAATATGCTACTTGCAGGAAAACTTGACACTGTGTTCAAAAATAGATGGCAGAAACTAGATAGATGGTTAGATATCTACAGATAAGACACTCCAAAAATGATGCAATATCCAATGTATTTATTGTGTGATCTGTATATGACTTAAAAACCAAAATAAAATATTACAAAAAAAAAAAAGCCTCTCTAGATCGGCACTCTCTGCATCAAGCGCTGGTCTATCCAAGAGGGGGGCGATAAGCTTATCCTTATAAACCTGATGAAAAGGGCAGCGAAAGAACATGTGGAACATCGATTCCACTTCTCCCAAGGCACGTGGGCAGCACCTGTCTTCACATGGCATCTTTCTATATTTTCCTTCTAAAACCTTAGAGCGGATTGCAGGAAGCTGAGCAGGTTGGTAAGTGCTAGCTGGAAGATTCTGACGGTAAACCGAATTGGACTGTGAATTAAACAGTGTTACAGCTACACCTGGTGGCCTCCATCTGGTTCCTGCTGCAAGAACAGTTTGAGAGCACGATGGACAAATGGCCACCCCTGAGCCTTCTGCGGTGGCTAAAGTGGTTAAGACACTGAACTGCAGGCTGTGGAAGGTCAGTAGTTCAGCAGTTCGAGACCTTACTGTGCTGCATGACGGAGTGAGCTGCCGTCTCTAGTTCCAGCTCCTGCCAACCTAGCAGTTCGAAAGCAAGAAATTGCAAGTAGATAAATAGGTACCACTTCGGTGGGAAGGTAACAGCGTTCCGTGTGCCTTGGTGTTTAGTCATGCCGGCCACATGACCACGGAAACGTCTTCGGACAGCGCTGGCTCTTTGGCTTTGAAACGGAGATGAGCACCGCAACCCTAGAGTCGGATTCGACTGGCTTTCGAGCAAGGGAAACCTTTACCTTTACCTTTAAGCCATCTGTGTCTCCCTACCCTCTCGCAGTTCTCCTCTTCTCCATTTTGCACTCACAACAGCTCTATGAGGGTGGGGTCCATCTGAAAGGTCTGACTGGCCCAAATTCAGCCAGAAACGTTAAATGAAAGGGGGGGGGGGAGTTGAATCTAGATCTCCTTGACCTTCCTCCATCATTCTGACCACTGTACTAGACAGGCTCTGAAAGGTCAGGCAAACAGTTAAATCCCCTTTGCTTTGTCAGAGAGGGAATATTTCCCACTCTCCCTGCTTGTGCCGACTGCTCTTGCTGGCTTCTGTGAGCAAACCTTTTCTTCCACTGAAATAACAGAGGGTGGTTGGGGTGGAAATCTGTGCCAGGGAGATACAATCCCCTTGATTCTGGGCACTGCCAGAGCCACCATTGTCTGAAATGGGTGCTTAGTTTTGTATCCCCCCCAGCTGTATTCTCAGATGAGTTCTGTCTGCCACATAGTTCCTACTGCAAAACTGTGAGTGGTGGCGGATTGCATGGGACAGGCTATTCCAATTCCTTTCGTATTTGCCGCTGGAACTGCCAAATCATCCAAAAGCCAGTGGCCAATCTTGAGGCTCCTAGCTTTATTTTTGGATGAGTTATGCCTGTCAGAGACAACCATAGCTTCCATTGGGAAAACACACACACACACACACACACAATGGGGTTCGGGATTTTTAGGGACTGTGTAGCCAAGAATGTTCTCTTTTTTTTAAAGACCCCCATAGGGGATTTGTTTTATTTTTTATAATACTACATAAACTACAAAAGAAAAGAAGGGAAGGGGAACTACAACTAAGGAGAAAGAAAAGTAACCCACACTAAACTAAAAACCCAAGAGTAGGAGATCATTACCCTGTTAAACTGCAGTTAGTAATGAAAAAAAAACCTGTTAATAAACAATATACTTTGTGAGATCCTGTCTTTCTAAGCTTATGTGTTCGTTTATTACTTATTATGAGAAGGTTTTCAGAGCATCTCCTCCAGCTCTCTTCGTAAGGGCAATTTTCAGAGTCCTTCCGCCTTTACATCTAAGCTCTCTAAAGTCTTGATGGCTTCTT